CCCCGAGGTCGACGCGGCGCTCGCGCGCGCGCGGGGCGTGATGGGCGACCTCCGGCGGCGGAAGATGGCCAACTCTCAAGTATACGCGGTCATGGGCGCCTTTCTTTTGGAGAACGGCCACGCGGAGGGCGGCAGGGAGCTCGTGCGGCAAGCCGCAAAGGACGGCGTCCCCCTCGGCTGGAAGGCGCTCGACATGCTCGCGCGCGCGGCTGAGGACGGGGCGCTGCTCGACCTCGCGATCGGCCTGCGGGCGCGCGCGGACGCGCTCAAGTCAGAGGAGCGGCGGCAGCGCGGCGGGGAGGGGCAGCGCGGGGGGATGGCGGCGGGCTACTCCGTGCGGCCGGGGCGGCCGGGGGAGCTGTGAGGCGGGCCCCCGCGGGGGTGGCGCGGGAGCACAGTGTCCTCCATCTTTCCGTTCCAGGGATTGTCACTCGTGACTCATCACACAGCCAGCTGGCGGATCGGGCGAGTGTGCATGGCCTGTACTGTACTTCTTGCCGGTGTACCCCTGTTTCCATTCCAAGTTTCATCTCCTTACAAACCTGCATTCATCATCTCCTTATTGTAAGCTGGTAGCTATGCCATCGCAGCCGTTTGGGTGTCGACAGGCCCAACAGCAAAGGAGTGATGCCCGCATGAGCGCGCAGCAACGGCCTCCAACAGCTGTCACACCCACGGCCACACCGCGCCGCCGGGCGTGCCGGCTGCTCACTGGACGCTGATTGACAGGGCCCCGATTTTCCCGGCTCCCTGCCGGCTGTGTTGAGGCGTGCTCTGCACACGTCAGCTGCTGCGGAGCAAAGGCTGACTCGATGCAACAGCTGCGCGCTCGCACTGCTGGCGTGGCAAGTGACGACACGTATTACAGCGCCTGCAGCGACGCAGTGGCTCATGTGGCCCAAAGTTCGGGGGTGGGCTTTTGGTTGCAAAGCCACGGAGCAAAACACTGTCTAAAGGGGTCAACAATCACAGTTGTTGATTTGGATGGGGCTTGTCTTGCTGGGGTACGTGCTAAGCTAGGGGCCATGGCCGCCACCAACCAGGCTACAGCTGCCACACAAGGGGAAGGACTGCGCCACAGCCGCGCCGCGCCTCAACGCATCCATCAAAGCAGGGCCAACCAAGCTGCTGCGATCAACCCCGTTTCAGCAGCAGCGACCGCCACGAACACCGCAAACGCCGAAAATGCAGGGAACACTGCAAACGTAGCCAACGCAGCGCGCCTGCGCCTGCGCCTGCCTGCCTAGAGGTCGAGCATGCTCAGGAACCACACGATGAACGCCGGCAGCGTGAACAGCGACGCGACGTACTGGCAGAACAGGATGGTGCTGAGGGGGCTCGAGTCCGGGTACACGCGGCCGCAGACGACGAGCAGCGTGACGGCGGCAGGCACCGCGCCCTCCACCAGCAGGAGGAGCTGGTAGAGGGGGTCGCCGGCGGGCGCGAGGCGGCCGAAGCCGCCGTTGCGCATGATCGCCACGTTTATGAGCGGCACCTGGGGTGTTTTGGGGGGTTGGGGTATGAGGGGTGCGGCGAATTTGAAGGGCTGAGGAGCTTGGGGCGTAGACAGAAGGGGGCGTGACGGGGGGGTTGGGCCCAGCGCGTGATGGTGTAACGGAGCGTGGAGGGGCTCAATTTTGGTAATTGGCTTGCGGCCTCATCCCAGGGGCAGTTTGGGCCTCTCAGCTGTTCCCAAAGCTGGTTCGTCCCGCACTCGCCACAAGAAAGCCCGCACACACCATCACACACATCAACATAAAAACATAGGGGATGCGTGAAGAGATGCATGTATGTACATGCACAAGTTCGTGTTCATACACGCACGCGCATCCCTGATTTTCAAGAATGCAGCCACCAAACGCAGAAACCAACTCACCAGTATCAGCTTGACCACGATTGAGATCGCCGTCGCGACAACCTTGGACCGGCGGGACACCCTCATGCGCGACGACGCAACCACCGGCGGCCCCTGCAGCAGCTCAGCCCCGATCTGCATCGTCGCCAGCGGTGCGGAGGCCGCGCCCACCCACACCAGGCTCGACCACAGCCAATGGAGCGGCGCCAGGTCATCCACGAGCAGCTTCCTCACGGGTCCCACGGCCGCGCACGCCAGGCCGACGATCGTCGCACCCAGGGGCAGGTTCACCACGGGGTGGGCGTAGACCGCGCGCCAGCTAAGCACCGCCGCTTGCACCCACCGCGGCGGCGGGCCGACGGCCGCGCGGGCGCGCCGCCAGGATTCGCGCAGGCCGCGGGGCGGCGGCACAGCAGCGGCGGGGGCGGCGGCAACAGCGCGGCCGTCCGGCTGCCGAGCCGGCGGCGGTGCAGCTGCTGCCGCTGCGCCGCCGCTGCGCGCCGGCTGCCATCCGCTCGGGAAAGTCCAGACGAGCTGCACCCGGCTGTTGCTGCGCCGCAGCCCGCGGCTGAAGCTGCGCCCCAGGCTCCGACTGAAGCTGCCCCACAGCTGCCGCCCCTGCTGCAGCAGGTGGCTGCCGCTGCGGTGGCTCGCGAAGCTGTCAAACTGCTGGTGCTGCAGGGGGTGGTGGGCGTAGTCGCGGTGCGCGGCCGCGGGCGGCAGCGCGGCGCCGTCCTCTGCGGCGTCGAGCTCAAACACATGGCAGTCATCCGCCAGGCTGCTGATGGAGGCGATAGCCACCAAGCCAGGCGGCCCGGAATCCGCCGCCGCGTCCGGGCCCCAGAATGCCGGGCCGCCACGCCTGCCAGCCTCCGGCGCCGCGGTGAGCGCGGCGCTGTGAGCGTCGGGGAGGCCGGCGGGCGGCGCGCCGTCGTCGTCGGGCGCGACGCGGTGCGCGCTCGCCAGCACACAGGCGACCGCGTGCGGCTGCTCCTTGTGGTGCCGGCGCGCCTGAGTGTCGCCTCCTTCTGAGCCATCCTCGGATCCGCGCTCCTCCTGATCTCGCTGCCGCCGCCGCTGCTGCTCATCCCGCTCCCCGTGATGCTGCTCCTGCCGCTCCTGCTGCTGCTCCTGCTGCTGCTCGTGCCGCTGCTGCTCCTCCGACCGGCTGCGCGGCAGCAGCAGCGTGTCCGGCGGCCGCTTAAACAGAAACGGCACCACGAGCGTCACCAGCACCACCACTATTGTGTAGACCGACACCAGCCCCACCATCCGCTGCACTTGCTCGTTGGCCGCCTCTGGCGCCGCGTAGTAACGGATGAGCCCAGGCATGAACAGCCAGGGCAGGTTGCCGCAGTTGGGCAGAGAGGACGCCTGGTGGCCGGGTGGGGAGGGATGGGAGTGGGCGGTGAGTGTCAAGGTGCAGCCGCCAGCTAGGGTCCGGCGTGGCTTGGGGCGTGGGGCAGGGGGAGAAAGGGGTGTCTCGTCCGTGACTCGAGGGCAGTTGAGGCGCCAAACGCGTGATGAGGCGGCGGCATCAGCTGGGATGCCCACCAGTGCACAAAACGCGCATAAAAACATGTCCTCATCAAGGCGCGCGGCCGCCGAGCCTCCTGCCCCTCACCATGACCGTGAAGAAGGCCATGTCCTTAGGCAGCCGCGCCGCCCACGCCAGCAGGGTCGCCGGCACGACGCCGATCAGGATGTGCAGCAGCGACGCCACCAGCAGCGGCCAGAGGCTCGAGAGCGTGCCCGGCGTGACGGCCCCCACGATGGATGAGAACATGAGGGAGGGGATCAGGGCGAACCAGTTGACCGACGACACCGCGTTGATGGCGGCACGGTTGAGGCCCTTGCGCTTGGCCAGCCACGCGCCCATGCCGCAGACGAGCAGCACCTGGCGAATGGCGCCGCGCAAATGAACGTGAGGGTGCAGGTCAGCAGCGGGGGTGGTGCTCAAGGGGGGGGGGCGCCTTGCAGATGGCCGAGCGCGGCGACGAGCACGCGGTGGCGCTGCTAACAGGTTGATGCGGAAAGCTCAGCCGCACGAGCCCCACAAATTCACGCTGCTGCCGTCGCTTCTCGTCCTCTATGGGCCGCCTCTCTTTCGGCCGCCCCTGCCGACGCCGCCAAGCCCAATCATGCCGCCCGCAATGCAGCCATGGTGCGGACGCACCTGCGCCACTGCCTGGATGGCCACATTGATTCGGTCGGCCCAGCTGCCTGCCATTGCTGGAGGTGCAATTTGACGGCCTAGCCCGTCAGAGGTCGGGTCAGCGGCGGCGCATCATCGCGCGTGCTGCCTGCGCGTGATGCCCTGCAGTCGGCGCTGTTGTCAGCCCCGCCGCCGCGCGTTGCGCAAGCAGAGGGCTGTAATGGTCCGCAATTGGGTTTTAATGCAGGCGAAGGGGTGAAAAGTTGTCGTGGGCGCGTCTCGTTGTGAGGTGGAAAGAACGCGGGCTAGTCTTATAGGGGTTGCGGAGTGCGGTGCAGCCCATAGACGTTTCGCCTGATAAAATAACATTCCATTTGTGAGGCGGGAGGTCAGGCTTTGACGCTTAACGAGGATGATGATCATGGTCGCCGGCCACGTCAGAGGGGCGCGGCCGCTGCTGGAGGTTATGCCCCCGTCGGATGGCGCAGTGCACAAGCCGGCAATGCAGGACCTGCTGAGCTCGGTCTGTGTCGCACTACTCATCCCTCAGCACCTTGGCAATACGCGGTGCTGCCGCGTGGCGCACGACCAAATGCCCCGCCCATGTAGGTCAACTCAGGCTGGCGCTTGTGTGTCGACACGTCGCTGCAAACCCACAGCCTGGCGTTTGCCACGCAGGCCCTTGATCACGTTCATTTACACGTGTGCGACGCCCCTGCTCTACCCAGCGGCGCCGCCACCCCCAGCCGCAGGTCGGCCTTGCCCCACAGCCACCGCCATGGGTTTCGCCCCCACAACTGTCGCCGGCGGCCGGTCCAACGGGTGACCGCCCCCGCCGCCGCCGCGGCCCTCCCCATCACGCACCCATCCGTCGCAGCAGTCATAATAGTCCCAATGCGAGCCGTTGGGCACCTCGCCGCGCGGGCGCGCCAGCAACCGCACCAGCGCGGCCGCGCTGTCGGCCGGCTTCACCAGGCGCCCCGCCGCAGCGTTCGCCTCAAACGCCGCCTTGAGCGGGATCGGCGGCAGCGCCTCCCGCGCAGCTGCCTGCATTTCCGTGTCTATCGCCCCTGGCGCGTAGCTGAGCGTCCGCACGCGCGGGCCCCGCTGCTGCGCGCCGCCGCCCCCATCATGCCGGCGGCCACCACTGCTGCCGCCGCCGCTGCTGCCGCTGACGCCGCCGCCGCTGCTGCTGCTGCTGCTGCTGCTGCCGCTGTCGCTGCTGTCTTGGCCATAGTCTGAGTCACCATGCGCCGCCCTGTTTGGTGGGTGAAACATGTCGGCCTCCAGCGCAGGGGTGGCCACCAGCAGCATGTGCCGCGCGGCCTTGCCGGCCCCATACACACCAAAGGTCTGCAGGCAGCATGGTTTGAAAACGCGGGATGGGGAGCGTTGAAAAGGGGCGGCAGGCGGCAGGAGATGCAACAACTGCGAATGCGCACGCACGACGCCGGCGGAAGGGTCGCGCTTGTAGCGTTTCAGGTGGCGCCAGCTCTCAGGCGATGCGAACCAGGACCAGCTGCGGGCAGCTGCCAGGAAGCTGCTACGCCGCACCTCGTATGCGCGGCACCAGCTGACAGAGGATACGTTCACGACAGTGACCTCTCGGCAGGTGGGGATCCTGGGGTGATGGGTTCGAAGGACATTTCAGGAAACAACGCTGCACCAAACTTACCGCCTGTCTGTCTGCAGTTGTCAACAACCAGCAAACCCTGCGCTCACAAAATCACAAAGGGTTTCTATGTGAGCCAACATATCAAACAGCAAGCCCGGCGAGCCTGGGGAGGCGGCTGCAGGGGTTGAGCGAGGCCATCGGTGTGCTTGCACCCCGCCGCGCCCTAGCCCCGGCGCCCTCACCCCATGAAGCGCCGCAGCACGGCCGCGCTGAGCACCGCCGGTGACGTCACGTTCAGGTCGATCTGTTGGGGCGGGGGCATGATGAGTCGGGGCCACTGGGGATTGGGCGCTGCACCCCAGAAATGCACAGCGCTCCTCCTCCTACAGCCGAACACCCGGCGTCCACACGGCATGCCCCTCGCCGCACGCGGCCGGCGCAAGATCCCCAGCCCCTTGCCGCTTGGGTGCGAGCTGTCGTTTTATCAAGGCTCCCCGTCGCGCCTGCTTGCGGATGTTGGCGGCGCCCTGCTCCCACGACAGCTTCAGGTCCCCCGTCTGCGCCGCGTTGTGCACCAGCAGGACGGACGCGTACGCGGCTGGCTCGGATGGCAAGAGGCCGCCCTGCGGGGGTCGTGGGCGGTGGTGAGCAGACCTCGACACGTGAGCTATCGAGTCAGGTCCAGAAGCTGGCGGTAGATGTGTGAAGCGTGCTTGTCGCGCATTGCTGCCGCTCGCTGAGCAGGAGGCGGCGGTCCCCACATGCCGCTGGCTGGCCCGCTGCTGCCGCGCGCCGATCAACCTGGTCGGGGCCTGCGGTCAGCGCCTCTGCGAACGCCTCCAGCCGCTCGACGTCCCCCAAATCCACCGCCACCCCCGCCAGCCGCAGCGGCCGCGCCGCCCCCGCCGCTGCCATCCCGCTGCCGCTGCCGCCGGCGCCGCCGGCGCAGTCAGACCCGGCCGCGGGACTGTCAGCTGGGCCGGAGCCGGACCCAGCCGCGGGGGCGGCGGCGACGGCGGCGGCATGCAGCTCTGACACGGCCGCATCGAGTCCGGGTTGGCTGGAAGCCACCAGCAGGATGTCGTGGCCTCCGGAGCATAAGCTAGCATTGCCCGTCGATGGGTCGCCGCTGGCGATCAGGGCCTCGGCGATTCGGCGGCCCAGGCCTGCGGTAGGCGGGCGGGCACATAGTGAAGGCTGTTGGCGGCGGTGGCGGCGGCGAGGGGCCGGCGGGGGTTGGAGCCGCCCCCGACGGCACGGTCAGTGTTTTGGTGCAGCCGCGGGAAAAGGCAAAAGGCATTGCGGCCCTGATGGAGCTGAGTTGGCAGCATTTTATGGAGCCTCGCCTCTGGAGCCGCCAGTAATGATGGTCAGGGAGCGCGGCGCGCCGCAGGTGGAGCCTGGGACGCCCTTCGCTTGATCCACCTGATTGCTGACCACTGTGCACCGCAATCGGCACGACCGGCGGTGGACTACATGGCGGTAGCAGTCTAGGCTGGGCGCCGCAGCCGGCACGGCAGCGGCGGCATGCCGTTGGGGCCAAGTGACGCTCGCAGTGCGATGCTGCGCATCGATACGAGGTGGCCGGCCGCCGCAGTCAGTTCGGCACCGCGCTCGACTACGAATCAGAAACATTGTTTTGCAGTGTGTTTTGAGTTTTGATTTGGTGGTCACGCATTCAGATCGCGATCGCCGAGCCCACACTTGGATTATAGAGGGCTGTGATACGGAGAAGGAGGCGCAGGAATACGTGGAAACGCTGCCGTACGTCAAACCAGTCTTTTCGCAACGCCCCACGGCACGCATCATCGCAGCCAACTGCAACCCATCCATGACGTAGCATTGCAAGGTGCATTGCAAGCATTCTGTCACAGCATTATAGGCTTGCTCCTTACTCCCAGGTAGAGCAAAATTTAGTACAGGTGCCCAGCCATGCGCTGCAGCGAGTGTGTTTGCATGCCTTGAGGCCCCCAAGCAAGCCCAACCACTAAGCACACACGTCGTAGTGAACGCTGGCAGAAAGAGATACGACGTGAGACCTTTACCAAGCAGGACTTACTGCATCAAAAGTATGTTACCGCTTTTTGAGACGCCGGGATGCCTTGGTTCGCGAGCCAGCTTCCACTGCAGCTTTACGGGGCGTTGGACGCGCTCAGACGCAACTTGTTGCTTCGTGTAGACGTAAAGTATGGGTTTTTCAGATGTTGTGCATGCATTTTTGCGTGCCGTGGCACCGTTCGTCCAATTTTGCACGACCTAAGTTTTTGAGGGTGGGGCCGAAGCGTCTTGACCGCTGGCGTTCGCTGCGATACGAAATCCAGATGTGAAAAACTGTGGATGGCAGCAGTATTGGTGCCCGGCACGACCTGAGCAGCGGCACAGCAAAACATCACAACAGTCGTTAAGAACACCAGTTGACCAGCAAAGCCGCGGCGCCACCGAAGCGCTGAGCTGCACAAGTGCCTTCAAGAGCCTCGCAGAAGAGGCTTACAGAAGCGTCGCAAAGAAGAGCCGCTCGGGAGGGCAGTATAGAAGAGCTGGGAGCTGCGACTTGCGAGCCGCAGTGCCACAGAGAAGCAGACCACAACACCAGCTGCTGAGCGCAACAGCGGCAGCGCGGCGACGCGGCGGCGCGGCGGCGTGGCGGCGCGGCGGCGTGGCGGCGCGGCGGCGTGGCGGCGCGGCGGCGGTGCAGCGGCTCTGTGCAGCAGAGCTGCGGAGTTGTGCAGCCACAGCTGCAAACCCACACATTTGCAGAATTGCCGGTGTGCTGCATTGCCATGAGGATTGAGAGCAGCAGGACAGCTTCAGAGCAGCAGCATGGCGGCATGACAGAAGTGTTGCAGCGAAGAGCTGCTTAGGAGAGCAGTACAGGCGAGCTGGGCGCTGCAACATAAAAGAGCCGCAGCGCCACGGAGAAGAAGAGCACAAGAACAGCTGCAGAGCGCAAGCGCGGCAGCACGGCGGCGCGCCGGCGCGGCAGCGTGGCTGAGCAGCAGAGCAGCAGAGTCGTGCAGCCGGTTTTTAGCAATGTTGAAAACCCATACATGTGCAGAATTGCCGGTGTGGCGCAGTGCCACGAGGGAGGAGAGCGGCAGGACAGCTTCAGAACGGCAGCATGGCAGCATGGCAGCACGGCAGCAGATTGGAGCGGCAGCATCGCCGAGTTGCAGAGTGGTCAAGTGGCAGAACGGCAGGGTGGGCAGAGCGGCAGAGCGGCAGAGCGGCAGAGCAGCAGACCAGATTTGCTGGTGGGGTTGCAGCATCTCTGTCAGCATGGTAGCGGGCATGCGATGCAGCGGCAGCTGCATGATGTCAGCCCTGGGATGATTATCATGCTCAAATGGCACCCGTGCGTTCATTCAGCTGTATGGACTTGAAATCATTGGCATAGTAAGTGGTGTATTATGGATTCTGTTACCGCATCCACTTGAGCCTGGCGTTCGCTCCTGCTAGCGCTGCGATCAACCTCCATCACGGATTGCCGTACCCCTCCGAGTGAAGCTTACATGAAGTGAATAGGCATCAATGCGCAAGCTCTGTGCCGGAGTTATATCAGATGGTCTGCGACCGCCGCGGGTTTGCAATGAATTCTCGCCCAACATCAAAGCGCGCGAGGAGACATCATACTGTTATGCGTCGATAAATTTATATTCTGTATACCAGTACGTGCGCACCTGTGCTTGTATAAATGAATTTGTGCGCAAGCCGTTGTTTTGACTTCGGTGACTCTTTGCTAGCAAATCACCACCTCTTTGGCTGTGCTGTTTGTGCAAAACGCATACAAAGATGATTGAAGTTGATTATACAGCTGTTCAGCCTGTTCAGGTAAGAAATGCAAGACCACCTTCCTTTCAGCCACTAAGCACACAGGCAGCATACCGGTAGAATTTTTGTTGACTTCGCGCGCCCGCGCCCCCGGCGCCGCGGCCCCCTGGCCGCTTTCGGTCTGGTGCCACTTGCGCTTGAGGACACGCCCGTGCCGGGTTTGGCGGGGGCGGCGGCGCCCGCGCGTGGGTGCGGCGCGCCGGCTCGGCTGGGTGGTTGCGGGTCACCGGCCGGTTGTGTGAGTTACGCTTGGCGTCCCTTCATTTGCCAGTGCAGCCCCGTTCAGCTATATATCCGTCCGATTAGTGGGTCTCTGAACGTACAATTCTAACATCTTTGTTGAATTCTTTTTCTGTAACTGTTGTGCTACTGTTGCACTGTTACCTCAACTGCACGGCCCAGCGGCCCAACCCTGTTCATCACGATCTGTTGTGTCGTGTAGGCGCGAACGCCATGGTTCGGCTAGTAAAGGTTGCTGTCACACAGCTGGCGATCAGCCGGGATCCCGCAGCGAACCTGGTGCGATCTCGGCACGGACAGCGGCAGGTCCGCCACTTGCTCTTTATTATCACAAATGCCCATATACGTCCAAATGCAGGCCAAGGCCGAGAAGTTTGTCCGCCAGGCGGCCGCAGAGGGAGCGAACATCATCCTGCTCCAGGTCAGCACTCTTTGTAGCCTGCGCAGCTCGTGATGTCACTACTGACGCCGCGCTTTGGTCCCAGCTTATTGGCCACCCCAGAATCACAAACCCCGCTGCTGTCGCTGCCTCTGCAGGAGCTGTTTGAGAATGCTTTCTTTTGCCAGGAGCAGAACCCGGTGCGTGCGCTGCAAACGGGCTAGAAGCGTGACCGTCGATGACAGCTGATTGATAGCATGCCTGGTTACGGTATGTTGCAGGTGGCACACAATGCCGCCAGTCTCACCCGCGGGAAGTTCATTCAGGCGCAGCGACTATGGGCCGTGGCAGTGGCACGCTTCCGTCGCCCTTCCAGCAAGCGCAGCATGCCATAGAGATACTGGCGCTCTGACCTGCTTCACTTCACATTCCTGTTGTTCAACCCCAGGAGTACTTTGATTGGGCCAAGCCGCTGGACAAGAGCGAGTCCGTGCAGAGGTGAGAGCATGCGCGGCCTTGTGGCCACATGACACCAGTTCCTCAGCAGCGCAGCTCGGCACAAGCAAAGGGTTGAGCAAAGGCCCCTTTACCCCCCCCCCCCCCGCCCCCCCCGCGGCTGCGGTGCAAATACTACTGTACATGCGCGCACAGTAGTATTTGCCTCGCCCCCTCGTCGGCCGCATGAACAGGATGGCTAAGCTGGCCAAGGAACTCAAGGTTGTGCTGCCAGGTGGGGAGAGTACTGGGCGCCACGCAGCCACGCACCTGTCTCGGCCGCCTCCCCGTTTGTGGCACGGACTTTGCTCGGAGCAGAACGCAAGTCTGCTGTTGATTATATCTGCTGGCCGAGCCAGTTTGGTTGTGCTCGCTCACATGCACACACACACACACGCACACACGTGCACACTCACACACAATTACTCACGCATCCTCAATCCCTCACGCTCGCCAGTGAGCTTCTTCGAGGAGGCCAACAACACGCGCTTCAACTCTCTGGCCATGATCGACGCCGACGGCACCATCCTGGGGGTCTACCGCAAGAGCCACATCGCAGTCGGGCCCGGGTGCGCCCCCGCTGCCCCCACGCTCCCCGCTGCCGCCCGCCGCCCCTCAGCACCACCCACCTTTCGGCACACGTGCAGACGCCCCCAAGCAGACCGCGGCCCTCAACTTGCCCACTGCGGGTTTGTAGAGCCTTCCAGGCCCCGTGCCTCGCATTTTTCGTGCGGTCACCGCCTGGAAGGCCCCTCACCCCACCCACTGCCAAACATCAATCAAAATCCAAAATCCAGGTACGAAGAGAAGTTCTATATCTCACCCGGCGACACAGGCTTCAAGGTGTTTGACACCGCCTATGGCCGCCTGGGGGCCGCCACGTGCTGGGACCAGTGGTTTCCCGAGGCGGCGCGCGTCATGGCGCTGCAGGGCGCAGAGGTGTGGGGCCGCGGGCGGGGCCGCGGGGCTACGGGCGCTGCAGATGACGGGCGTTGCACGTGGTGCGGGGCTACCCGTGCCGCAGATCAGGGGCGCACGTCTTCTCGCGCGCAGCGGCGTCGCTGCGAAAGCAACGGCGTCGGCGCTTTGCGGCGCATAAAGCGAAAGGCCGGGGGGGAGAGACAGTGGTGCCCTCTGCCCCGCCCTCCGACCCACGCACCAGATTATTTTCTACCCCTCAGCTATCGGGTCTGAGCCCCAGGACGGCAGCCTCGACAGCTACCCCCACTGGACGCGCACGATGCTGGGCCACGCTGCCGCCAACCTGGTGAGTGCCCGCTGCTGGCCAGCTGCATGCCCAGGCGGGGCCGCGCTGCTCGCTCACGCTGGTGCCCCCGCCCAGCCACCAAGGTCGCCCTCAGCGGGTCGCGGGTCGCCGCACGATCGGGGGCTCCTGCCACAAATGTCCGGCCCGAGTTGACGCGGCCTGCTTCCCCTGACGCCGCCCACTGGCGCCGTTCCCTCCACGCCTCCCCGGACGCCGCCGCCGATGCACGCAGACGCCCGTGGTGGCGTCCAACCGCGTGCACACAGAGGAGTTTGAGAAGACCTCCATCACGTTTTACGGCGGGAGCTTCATCAGTGGGCAGCACGGGCAGGTGCTACAGCAGGTGGGTCGGGGCGCTGCGCCGCCCGTCTGCCAGCAGGCGTCTCTCCGACTGAGCGCTTGCGACTCGTGAACGCGCGACGCGGCGCCTATGCAACCCGCCGACTCGCTCGCCAAGTTCTCAAGTGTCAACCAGAATGATTGCTTTACTAATGAGATGAATCCAGCCAGCCCTCGGCCTTAGGAAGCCCTGCTGGCACCGCCCTTAAGTCACTGCGTTCCACAGCTGCTCGAAATCGCTGCGGCCACGCTGCCCCGATTGTCAGGTGGGCGGCGACAAGGACTTCTTGAAGCACGGCAACCTGACGCCCGAGCCTTCAAAGGAGGAGGGCTTCGTGGTGCAGGAGTTTGACCTGGACGCACTCAGGGCTACGCGCCTCGAGTGGGCGGGAGGCTGAGAGGCAGCCTGCGATCGGAGCGTGTCTGGCTTGGAGCAGCGGCTTGCACCTGGGGGGCGGCACGGATGCCGCTCTCCGCCTGACACAGGGGGCCGTCGCGGCGCCGTGGGGTTGCATAGTTGGCGCGTACTGGTGGATTTTTGCTGATGGTGGTGGCATGCTCACGTCCAAGGTGTGTGCAACAGCAGAATCTCGCTGTCTCGGGAGGCCGTGAAGCTTGGAATGATGTCACATAGAATTCGCCATCTTCCAAACCCTTGCATCGCGCAGGTGGGGCGTCTTCCGCGACCGCAGGCCGGATCTCTACAAGCCTCTGGTCACTCTTGATGGCAGCCTGGTGCACCACGCGCACAAGTAGAGCGAGCTGTCTTGCAGCTTGTGCCACATGAGCTGCCAGAAGTCGTCATCCGCGGCACAGGATTTCGGCGGCGCCTTATAGGCGCCAGCAGCGCACTATTGTTTCTGAGTGAATACAATAATATGAGCATAAAACGCTTGGTGATTGTGAACTGAGTTGTATTACAAGGCGGTTTGGACGGGATGAGGAAACTCGGCCGGTCGAGCAGGAGTGGGGTGCACAAAGCTTTGGACTTTGCTTTTATTGAGTACTGCACCTGCATCCATGGTGTTGGGGCTCTGCGTGCAGCGCCCTCGCATTTGCAGCTGCGCGTGCGTAGAGTCCGAACCATGCCGGCTTGCAAAGTAATTCACGATCAGTCTGTAATCAGCTTTGCCCCAAAGTTCCAGCTGAACTGCACATGTTGAGTGTGAGGCCATTCCCGACGAGTGGACCTTCACCATCATGTGTACGTAGTACGTGGTGCAGCACATTGCATCAAAAAGACATGTTGATGGGTCGACATGGAGCGCGTTGATGTGCTGTATGCTCTTTGGTGCAGCGCGTGGCTAGGGAAGTTGTGGGGAGAAGAGCCCTATGGCGAGGGACCTTGCTGACATGCCCCGCTTACATTCAAAAAGAATCACGGCGCATATATTCGATGTGCATGTGCTTTGCTCGTTTCAGGGTCAGGAATGCGCGGCTGGTGTCCACGGTGCGACCGCATGCACGATACAACACCCCAGGGCGACCTGGATGCGGTGCGGGCGGGTGCTGCTGCATTGATTCATTGATGTTGATCAACGGTTGGTCAGGCCGGCATGATTGAGAATTACACGGCATGGTGCACTTTAACTCTAAAGAGCTCACTTCTGCCTCTTCGAGGAATTTGCGCTAAAACCAATGACACTCTCAGATCAGCTGGATCACACAGTTGTGCTTGACCATGCTTTGGTATATCTGAAATTTGACATAAGCGTTGATCACGAACAGCGCACCAGCTTCCATTGACGGATGTTTGTGTGAAGCCCGCGCTGATCAGCAAAGAATGTCCTCGTCAGACGATGAGCCTCTACTAGCCAACTTTATTGCGCGGCATGATGCAGCCAAGTCGAACAGCAGCGGAAGCTCGCTGCCGGATTGGATCAAAACGCATCAGGCGCGCCGCTACACTCCTTGGCGACGCCCCGCTTTCATGCCGCGCCTCCTGGCCATTTCGTCAATGTTGGTGCGCCGCCGTACACGCAGACACCCCAGAAGGAGGTCGCGCCGGAGCCCAGCACCAGCAGCGAGGCCAGGGCGGCCAGCCGCCGTACAACCCAGCAAGGTGAGCTGCGGCAGCACTTGAACAAGTCCGACTGACGAATTGAGTGGTCCATCGCAAATGCAAACGACGGCTTGTTTCGAGAGAACTCTAGCAAACACATGCTTCCCTGTGCGCAGAGGCGGACGACGCAGCCGGCCCCAGCACACAGCCAGCATCAGTGGCGCGGACCGCCGGCGCCCCCGACGAGAGCGCCAACCCACAGTCAGCAGCCAAGCCGCCCAAGGGCCGCGGCGGCCGCCTGCCTCCCGCAGCTGCGCCGCCCAATGGCGTCGCCCCAGAGGCGGCAGCCCCCGGCCCAACGCCAGCAGCGGAAGCTGCGGCGGCGGCGGCGGCGGCCGCGGCGGCAGCAGCTGGCGCCATCGGGCCGGCGGTGGGGCGCAACGAGGTCGTAGTCATGCTCCCAGAGAAGCTTCACAGGAACAAGGTCCTGCTGGAGCTGGAGCCGGCCCCGCACGGCGCCACAGACCTCAGCGGCGACGTCGGGGCGGTCGGGCGCATCATCGTGCCAAAGGGCGACGCGGCGGCTGCGGCCGGGACGGCAGGTGAGCCGGCGCGAGGGGTCACGGGGAGCGGCGTCAGGGTCGGCCTTTTTTTTCCGAAGTGGTGGCCGCGCCACATGCCCGGCCGTCGTCCGTGCTCAAGTTCCTGTCACTCCCAACCGCCTGCCGCACCTGCCTCCCCGACCCGCCGCCCGGCCCCTGCGCGGCGGCCGCCGCAGGCCCAGCCTCGCAGCAGCATGCGTCCCAGCAGCAGCAGCACGAGCAGCAGCTCGGGTCCCAGGGGGCGGGCGGCCAGCAGCAGCTGCAGTGCTTCCACCTGGACCTCAAAGGGGTCCTCTACAGCGCCGCGGTGCTGCCACTGGCGGGCACAGCCATGTTCGTCAACATTGGGATCGCAGAGGCCAAGGTACGGGGCAACTGCGTGGTGCATGGCACTAAAGGCGCGACGCGAACGGCAGGGCCTCTTTTGCCGGCGGTGCCTGCTGGCGCGGCGGGGGAGGGCTGCCAATGCCGGGCTTTGATTTGTTGGACAAATACGATACATTTTCAGCACCTTCCCATAGCGATTTTGTGCCTCTGTGTGTTTATGTGTGTGTGTGTGTATGTGTGTGTGTATGTGTGTGTGTGTATGTATGTATGTGTGTGTGTGTGTGTGTGTGTGTGCGCGTGCGCGCGCACGTCGCACCAGTGATGAGCTGCATCGTCACGCCGAACAAGTTGTGCACCCAAGCAAGCCGCTGCCACACCCGCAACCATAACAACCACGGCCACCCCCTGTAAGGTCGAGTCGGTGCTGAACGACTACGTGCGGTTGGTGGAGCTGGAAAGCAGCTACCAGGAAGCTGACGGGGCGGCGGCCCTGGGGGATGACATTTTGGGCAGCGACGACGAGGGCCATGTGGCGGCAGCGGCGGGTGCGGTGGGGCTCAGGGGTTTGCTTGGGGATTAGTCCAGGGAACATGGTGGTATGTGTGCATGTGTGTGTGTGTGTGCGCGCGCGCGCACACGTGCACGCTTTGCGTGTGCACGTGCATACCGCTTTGAGGGATGCAGTCATGCAGGATTATGTGCCCTGGGTCCAACAAAGCTGGCACGTGTGCAAGGCGGAGCGGCCTTGCCATGGCATGCAATTCTGTCTGCACACGGCCGCCTGCTTGCTTCCCTCCCTATTGCAGATGATGATGGCGGCGGCAAGGTCAAGGGCAAAAGCAAAAGCAAGGCCTCCGGCAAGGGCGCTGCAGCAAAGAGCGGCGGCGGCGGCGTTGTCGCCTCGGGCAGGGGCTTGGGTGGCCTCAAGGCCAGGGGCGGAGTCAAGAAGAAGCCAGGCGCCAAAAAAGGCGTGGCGGCGAAAAAGGGCACCGGTGCCGGCAGGGCCAAGGGCGCGACCGCCGCGAAGGGCAAGGGCACAGCAAAGGCTGGAAAGGCCAGCCCTGCCAAGAAAGCGGCCGGAGGAGCGGCCAAGCCCAGGGCTGCGGCGGCAGCCAAGCAGCAGCAGCCAAAGAAGAAGCGGAAGCAGGGGGCCTCTGAGGATGAGGCGGCGAGCAGCGACCCCGAGAGCGCCGGAGGCAGTGACGATGACGATTGGATGAGCGATGGCAGCGGGTAATGCTCTGTGGGCCGTTTCGAGCTGCTGACGTTGTGTGTTGTTTGAGGCTGCCGCTGCGTGCTATCTGTTCAATACATCCATTTCATCACCGCTGCTTTTGGACCCTGTGTTCCTTTTGAGGGGTGTTTACAGGTATCTCGCCTGTCTCAATTTTTTCTTTCTGCCTTGCTCTGAGTTTGCGCGGCACCCATGTGCTCCTCAAGATTGTGCACTGACGTGAACCCAGCCTCATCACTCACCCCCAGTAATTTTGTATCCATGCTGGCCAGGGCCACAAAGGGACCGCACAGGGGTGCCCAGCGCAATATTCAGAGCTTGATGCTCTAGTAAACTTCATTGCCGAAATTGAGGTCGAGCCGACTTGCCGGCTACCTCGGCTCTCAGCACACGCCGCAGGACTCGCAGACCGCCAGAGGCACCATGCAGGCAGTAACTGAACTCCGGCCCTTGATCACACAGGTCGAGAAGGATAACAAAGCCTCAAACGAGGCGACTATGTTGTTTGCATAGGATCCAAGGGGCCGTTCTCTTCTTCGTTGCGGCCGACGATGCACATAGTGCGTTCGAGTGAGAAACACAGCCGCAAAGCGTGAATCGCGTCAAATATTGTTTCATCTTGTTTTATATGACAGCGCATTGCTGATCAGCACCTGGACCCAGCCCCCTCACTGCAACGCCCGCTGACAGGTGCACAACGCTGCTGCGCTGTGGTCAGTTCCGTCTATGGCACTCACCCTAATCTGCCGTCCGTCCCGCCTTGCCTTGGCCTTGTGTATCCCAAACAAATCAGCCTGTAGTTTAATTTAATGGGGACTCCCTCTTCACGGCAGCTGTCGGTTGTGGTGACCGCCTTGCTGCTGCTTGGCCCAGCGGCAGCGCCTACCGCAGCGGCCCCACCTTTTGCCGGCCCCAAGGAGCTGCACCACACGATCCAAGTGAGCCCAAAACACACGTAAACGCGCGCGTGCATGTGATCATCTTAAGCCGCTTGTCCATCATATGAGCTTTGACGCAACAGAGATAGCACTATCAGAGGCAATGATGCCCACCTCTGCAGCTAGCGCCATCACGTGGGCCGCCCTGTTTGGCTGGCTTGATTTCTGAGGCTTTGAGTGCACCATCCTCCTCAATCGCCTCACACAGTCCTTCTTCTCGCGCAAGCTCCTGATCCGGGCTGCAAACTCGAAACGCCGCGCCGACCTGAACCGAGCATGGGACAACAGGAGGGTGAGCCCTGCCAATCATGCACGCAGTCCATGCCCTTGGCGCTGCGCAGCCTGGGGACGCCGCAGTCGCCTCACCCAGACGCGTCAGCAGCGCTGAACCTTGGCCCTTTTAGGACGCGTGCCATCAGCGCTGGCCGGTCGCGGTGCGGCCCAGCCATTGAGCCGTGCCATGGAGCCATGCCTGCTGACTGCATCACAGTGAGCAGCCACCACGCATCCCGTGCAGCGGAGTCCACTACAGCCGGCCGTTCCGGACATTCGGCGCGGTAGTACGCATACAGATACAAGCATCAATGCCTGCACCCAATTTCACGCAGGATGTCGGCCGACCAGATGTCGTGCTGCCGCCCAGCACTGATGCCGCCCAGGCCGCGGCAACCGCGGTGCTTTGCTCCGGCCCATACGCCTCCCGCGTGCCAGCAAGTTGCGGGGGATGACCCGCATGTGGACTTGTTTCTGATGCTGCTGCACGCAGTCTTCGCCGTTGCAACCGTAGTTGCGTTATGTTTGTGCTGACTTCTCAAGACACACAAGAATGGGCGTGCCGCGCACATTGTGCACGTGCACCGACAATGCCTATAGGTTAGTGTGTTGATCATTTTAGGCTGCTTAGCCTACCAAGACCTACTTATGGTGTACTGCAGTATTGGATCCTTGATTTTGTGGCTCGTGTGCAGTGCCAAGACATACACGCAATTCTGCTGTGGGATGTGCTTACTCCCACACAGTGTTTGCAGCTGTTTGACGGTTGCACCTTCTGTGCATGAAGTGCCTTTTCAATCCACTACGATATAGCCGCAGGAACGTGGTGCGAATCTACAGGCGTGATTGCGAAATGTTGGCCCAGCAGCCTAACTGCACGACAACCCGCGTGTCATAGAGTCGAACCCGCGTGTCATAGAGTCGCCGCGCCAACGCTGCGCTCCTTCCGGCGCATCCCAGGGTGAAAACATCTGCAGGCACGCAGAGTGGGGCTTGGATTGCAGGAGCCGGCATGGGGCAGAACACAACTCTATCATAGACCCCCACTCCCCCACCAAAGCACAGGGCTCAGTCATCACAGCAACCCCTGGACAGAGTTCTGTGAAGCCAGTCAGGGACAGCAGCGCGCACCTGCTGCTGGCGCGCCGACATGGCTGCCAGAGCCGCGGCTGAGAGGCCAACGCGAGGCGGCCATTGCAGGAGCGGCCTGTGCAGTCGTGCAAAGGCGGGGCTCAGCCTTTGCGTTTAAATCTGCGGTTCCCCATTTGCCTGTTGTTCCGACGGCGATCAAATGCATTCCCGCAACATCGCAGCATATGATACTCGTCAGCCCGCAGCTATGATCACAAGTCGGCCGAGTCACCAACCCGGCGGCCCCCACCAACCCGGCGGCCCCTGGAGGTGATCCTTCGTGTTGTTGGGCGAACAAGCTGTAGTTGCATCTAGAGGCATCTCCCGCATGACGTGTGGTCCGCGGGTTGCCCTGCCCAGCCCCCTGAAGCTGAGCCAGCTGTCACACTGAGCCACTCGGCGCCTGCTGCCCCGCTGCGTTCGTTGTTAGCGTTTGGCACCAAACTCGCATTTGTTGGCACCTACTTAAGGTTGGTGTTTACCCTTCTCCACCGCGCAATCTTTAGACGATGCCTTCAACAAGCCAGCCGCCACCATGCCCCTCCTGGGTGCGGCTCGCCGCGCTGCCAAGCGCCCCGCTGGATCAAGGAAACATGGCGCTGGGCCGTTGCGCTGCGCCGGACAACAAGAGGCGTCCCCGCATGCCCCAAGTTGCCATCACCCCTGGCGTCCCGAGAAGAACATGCCGCCGGGGACGCCGCTCCGCGCGCGCCTGGGCCCTATGGCGCGCCCATTATGCGGAATTAGATGTTTTGCAAAGCCGTTGCCGTGTCCCTTGGTTTTCTTAGCTTGGTCTGTTGTTAAGGTCTGTTTACTGTGCAGTGCTGTTTATGCATTTGACTAGCAACTCGGTGGGGTTTCACCTTGCTGTTCACTAGCCTTAAATAAGTCAGTACCTTGTTTAAACATGTAAATCGCACTATACGCATGCTTCCTAATCAGCACAGGGTCATGAGCACGGGCCGCAGCATGTGCGGCGCAGTGTCCTTGGTCGCCACAACCCGCCGCATGATTGCGTCGACCCAGGGTCCCCGCAAACAGGCGGCTGGTTGTGGCGACCACTGGTCAATCTTTGGGTACCCACAACCAAGGCGGTGGTTGCGGGTTGCGACGACCAGCTGCATCCAGGCGCAACCACCGCCATCGCGCGCCCACATGTTTCCGACGCTACAACCGCTTTCGTCGACCCGAGCCAACCAGCCAGTGGCTTCCTGGGAGGTCCAAGTAATGGACTGGGCAGGTGCTGCCACACTGCCGGCAGAGCGCCAAACGCCTGGCAGTATGGTGGTGCTGCCTTTGAGCTGATGCTGCGGGTTCCAAGCGTGGCTGGTGGCCAGCTCGACCCGGGCACTGCCGTTGCTGTGCAAGGCGCGTCCAGCGCTGGCGCTGACCAGCGCCGCCGCGGCCACAGCGAGCCGGCCATCCACCAGCGGCATAGGGCGCTCGCCCAGCGTGTCGCATAGCCTGGCATAGTCAGCAATCAAGCCAGCTCGCATCTCGGCCTGCCGCTGCTGCGCCGTGGAAAGCCCTTGCCATGTTTGGAGTCGGTGTTCATGGTGCGCTCGCGGCGGGCCACATGGAGGAAGCAGTGCGAGCACGAGGGAATGTTGCTGGTTTTTGATGCTCGTCATGTTGGGTATGTCATCTATAAAAGCTGGTGATTGCAATAATCAATTCTCCGTCTGTCTCGCTTTTCGCGAAGAGGACAAAAGCGAAACCGTCGCATGACGATCACAGGATCCAGTGCGACAGCGAACTACACGACGAAAGTTTTTGACGTCTCAAACCGTACGTGTGACCTAGTCTATACGCGGGCAGTCGGCGCTGTTAAGGAAGTGGTGACAGGGGCGCAGGTCAACGCATTTTGACCATGAGGCGGCAGCCCTGCTGCACCTGGGACTCAAAGCATCACCCCAGAAACATCATAACAATCATATCAAGCTGAGTCTCGTGCACACAGCTTGGCGTGCATGTGAACGTGAAGGTGTGTTTCCATCTGCAACACTTGCTGATCTCATGATGACATCTGCAGTGTGATTTCTCAACTGTCTTGCAACTTTGTGACCCTCGATCACAGACGCCCAGGCCCGACGCAGCCCCTTCATCCTTGCTGCCATATTTACATCACAGTTTTTTGCCAGCGGTGCGCGCATGCTGATCAAAACGCGTGTCATGAGAGCATATATTGGTGCAAGCAAAATGCCAGGGGAATTCGCCAGCCGCGGGGGCGCTGTTCTGTTCTGCAGCCGCTTTCGCCGAACAAGTGACTTGTTCAGCAAGTGACTTGTTCAGCAAAAATGGCAGGCAACGAGGAAAAAAGGCGTAGCGGCGTTGCAGCAGCAATGTCAAGTGCAGAACGGATCCTCTCTCTGCATATCAAGTAGTGTCGTGACCCCCTCCAACACTGTCACATATGTCACGCGCCTGTATTTATGACTTAAGGGCTTGAGGTTAGTGTTCTTGTACTGCAAGTCATCGCCCAGACGCATGAATGGTTGAGCTACACAAACCAGTGGGGCTGCACGAGCAGCGGGGCTACGCAGCTGGACGCGGCTCCGCCTGACGTGCATACGAGCGCTGAGCATTCCAGCACACCGCCTCGCCCCCCCAGCTACTCAGAGCTGGACAAAGCTACACGCAAAGGGCTCAGTTTGCAGGTGAACGTCTAGGCAACGCCGTGTACGCGCTAGGCGTGAGGTGCGGGCCAGCTCAGAGTGAGATGCGGCACGAAGCCATGTGCGTGTGCGTGGGGCATCCGTGCGCGCCCGCAGACGCCTGTGGGGGATCTCACAGCCCAAGCCTGCCAATACCGCCGCCGCCGCCGCCGCCGCCGCCGAAGCCACCCCCACCCCCTCGAGGCGTTGGCAGAGGTACGGTGGGAATGGGGGTGGGGCGCGACACCGAGAGGCGCGACATTCCGCCGCCCACAGACGGGCGCGAGGTGCTGGGCAGCGAGGGGCGCGTGGTGGGAACCGAAGGGACGCTGGGCACCGAAGGGATTGAGGGGCGCGTGGTAGGGATCGAGGGAACTGTGGGACGCGTGGTAGGGATCGAGGGAACTGTGGGGCGAGTGGTAGGGATGGAGGGCAGGGCGTTCCCCGGGAGGGAGGGGCGCGTCGTCGGCACCGAAGGCGTGGAGGGCAGTGTGGGGCGGGTAGTGGGCAACGAGCCGACGCCGACGCCGGGCCCCGGCTTGAGCGCGGGCGAAGAGGGGCCCGAGATGATGCCAGGCTTCGTGGCGGGGAGCGTGGTCGGGCCGCTGGGCCTGGAAGGCAGCACATTGCCGGGGGTCGGCCTGCGATGCGACACGTTGCGAGCACGGCGGCGAGGCGAGAAAGGGGGGGGTCAAGTATACCAAGTTGTGCAGCAACCCTTGAGTCCCTGCTCCGTCGCTTGTAGGAGCTCCACAGTGCTTGTGATGGGTGGGTGACTAAGGGTGAGCCCAGCGGCACGTGGCCCTCACCTGATCAGCCCGGGGATGGGAGCCGGCTGCACGGAAGGGCGCGGGCGCTGGCCGGGCAGGCGGCCGCCGGCGATGCCGCCCGCGATGCCACCCGCAATGCCGCCCGCGACGCCGCCGGCGATGCTGCCGCCCAGAGTCCGGCGCCAGCCAGTTCCGCCGTAGCCCCAGCCCCAGCCCCACTTCGGGCGCACAAAGCTGAAGGGATTGAGGGGGCTGAGGGGATTGAAATGGTTGATGATGGGCCGGTGCCACCACCAGCCGGGGCCCCCTGCGCGGCACAGACGATTGCAGGGTAAGTATGTGAGGACACACAGATCCTTGGGCGAAGTTAATGACCAAGAGTGAACCACAATATACTTGTGACAAGATGCGCTGCTTGTGCCCATTTAATACAGTGAATCTTTTTGGATCGCAGGACTGCCACATTCTAGAATCCGCCCCGCCTTGCGCGTGCAGCCTGCTAGGGGGCCGCGCTTGAGACCCCCTCCCATGCTCACAGAAGTTGTTGAAGGGCGTGAGGACATCAACGATGCCGTGGATGATCCACTTCCCAGGGTACCATGTGTTGTAGTAGCCAATAGGGTAGTAGTAGCTGCGGATGCATGTGTGTGTGTGTGTGTGTGTGTGTGTGTGTGTGTGTGTGTGTGTGCGTGTGCGTGTGCGTGTGCGTGTGCGCGTGCGTGTGCGTGTGCGTGTGAGTGTGCATGTGCGTGTGCGTGTGAGTGTGCGCGTGCACGTGCGCGCACGTGCGTGCAAGCGCGTGTGTATGTATGTGTGCAAACAGCACGGGTGCATGTGCGAATGAGGGAGTGGGGCGGCCGCGTGCATGATAGTAAGCAGGCAAGGGGTTGCCCTGTGAAGCAACTGAGAAATAAGCCATACGTGTACAGTTTGAGGCTGGCGGTGCGTCGTGCATCACGCTGCGAGCACTCAGCCTGCTGTGCATAATATCTTTCCAACATCATAATGTTGCTTATATGTTTGATCCTGGCTTGGCAGACGCACCTGTACCAGTAGGGGAGGTAGGGGTTGTAGCCGTAGTAGGGCGAGTACGTGGCTGTAGACCAGGGGGTGGAGGGGTGGGTGAGGGGCGTTTGAGGGGTATTTGGAAGGGTGGTTGGGGGGTGGCGGGGGGTGTAACGAGTTGTGGGGTGGTCATTCAGTTGCAAGGAGGATGGCTGAGAGGATGGCCGGAGGAGTCATGATTGGCACGAGCTGGGTGCGGCAAAGGAGGGAGGGTACGCCATCATCGGGCGTGACAAAACCGCAGCAGCTCGTGGGTTTTTCCGGCTGGCCACAAGGCAGCTGCGGGGTAACCATTGAGGGGGCCGAGTGAACCCCAAGCAAACAGCATGCCGCCTGAGGCTCTGCAGCATCTTGGCGGCCGCTGATGTCTCAAGCACGCACCGTCGTAGTATCCCGACGTGGGCACCGCGGCCTCAACGTCGATGGTGGCCGGCTCTGAGTAGTAGACCTGGCCCGCCTTGTCGACCGCCACGGCCTTGGGGCCAGCGATGGGGGCAAACACAACAACACGGGTCAGCGTGCACCACAAGTGCACCTCGTGCTCGCGCCTTGTCACCACCTTGCTGCCTGGTTCCCGAGACATCCCTGTAGTCAGGGTCTCAGCTGAAAATTATTTGATAGGGTGAATAGCATCCATACTGTGCTTGGCTTCAGCTAAGACGCGAGATGGAGCCCTGGCCACCCCCACTCGCACCTGCACAACCAGCTGGATGGGTTGGCCCAGCGGCAGCCCGGCGATGTTGATGCCGTTCTGATTCGTCTGGTAGTTGATGCCCAGGCTGCGGCCGCTGTACGCGTCGTAGGCGCTGACAACGTAGTGAGACGCACCCTTGACCGGCTGCCAGGCGGTCTGCGCAATCGCGTGATTTGGGGGCAGGGGGGGGGCAGCGGGTGGCGAAGGCGGCTGGTGCACAGCTGTCTTGGTGATGGGGCTGCCGCGCAGCTCGATGCAAGGCTGCAATACTGGCCAGCCGCTGAGTGGTCAGCCGCTCGCACACAATCAACACCCTTTGCCTCACCGACATGTGCTGCTGTGCCCTACCTCCTCCCCCAAACCCCTCAAAACAAACTCTTCAGGCAGCATGCTGGCAGCCCACCTGGACCTCGCTGCCATAGAACTGGGCCTTGAGGTTGGTCGGCGCGGCCGGCGCCTGGGTCGGCGGCTTCCAAGTCGCTGGCAGCGTATACGTGATCTTGGGGGCAGACTTGCCCGCGTCGAAGGCCGTAGAGTAGGACTCGACCTCAATCTGTTGCAGATACAAGGGGCAGTTCCAAAGTTGCGATGGTTCACATGCATGTGTGTGTGTGTGTGTGTGTGTGTGTGTGTGTGTGTGTGTAGGTGTGTGTCTGTGTAGGGGTGTGCGAGGGCGGATGGGGGGCATCTATACCAACAGCTGCAATCCGCAGCGCAAGCCCCCCGTCCTGCTGCGGCAGCCGCCGCCAGCCCAGCAGCCGCTGCATGCCCTTCCTTTGCCCCCCACAGCCTTGCGTCATCTAGAAGCCGCTTCAGCAACTGCGCGGGCGCCTGCCCAGCAGGCAAAAAACAGCCGCGCACAGTGTAGGTAGACCCAGGGGTGAGGTCGCGGATGATGGCAGTGGTGTTCTTGTAGGGGATCACGTTGGTCGCGCTGAGCGCCTTGCCCTTGGCATCAACCTCAGTGAGCCTGAATCAGGTGGGGAGTGGGGGAAGCGGGAGGGGACAGACACAGGGGGTTGCAGGGAGGGCTACTGTTGGTGGCCGGCAGCGGCAGTTAGGTCTGCGCGTCGGCAGGGCGGGCCGCTTTGGCTATCTTGGTCGCGCGCGCTTGCCTCGGCTTCCCGCGCATTCATTCAGGCAGTTGTGGCTGTTCCTTGCCCACTCCTGCTGCGAGTTGAGCACCTTGCGGACCCCGGCATCTTTGCATTACCCCGCCCTCGGGCCGCAAAGTTGGCCCTTGCAGTGCACAGCGTGGCTTCTGCCAGCCCCCTCGGTGCGCTTTACGACCTGCAGCTTTCCCCCTCTCTCCCACTAAGCCATCCCTGTTGCCACCCCTATCAGGGGCGGTGGCAGTCCCTGGGGCCTCTCGAGGCCCCCCCTCCCACACGCCCTGCGCTGCAATACCCTCATTCCCCTCAGCTTGCCCTCACCACACCTCCCTAACCCCCTCCGTGCCGGAGAGCAGCTGCTTGGCGGTGCCACCCTAACCCGTCCCACCCCCACC